ATGAAAACATGATGGTTAAAACCTTTGGGATGCAGCAAAGGCCGTGATAAGAGGGAAGTATATAGTAATACAGGCCTACTTCAAAAAGAAAAATCTCAAATACACAACCTATCCTTACTACTAAAGGAGCTATAGAGAGAACAGCAAATGAAGCCTAAAGCCAGCAGAAGAAGGGAAATACTAAAGATTAAAGCAGAAACAAATGATACAGAAACAAAATAAAAACAACATACAGAACAGGTCAATGAAAGTAAGAGTTGGTTCTTTGAAGGAATTAATAAAATTGGAAAACCTCTAGGCAGACTTACCAAAAAGAAAAGAGAAAGAACCCAAATACACAAAATCACAAAGAGGAGAGATCAAAACCAAAAACCACAGAAACACAAACATATAAGAGAATTTGTAAAAAGTTATATGGTAATAAATTGGGCAATCTGGAAGAAATGGATAAATTTCTAAAAACATATAAACCACCAAAACTGGAACAGGAAAAAATAGAAAACTTGAACCGACCAATAATCATCAAACAAACTGAATCGATAATCAAAATATCCCAACAAACAAAAGTCCAGGACAAGATGTCCTCCCAGAGGAATTTTACCAAACATTTAAAGAAGAGTTAATATCTATTCTTAACAAACAAATAATAGCAATGGAAGGAAACTTCCAAACTCATTCTATGAAGCCAGCATTATCTTGATTCCAAAACCAGACAAAGACCCCATTAAACAGGAGAATTACACGCCAATATACCTGATGAATATGGATGCCAAAATTCTCAACAAGATACTAGCAAATCGAATCTAACAGTACATTAAAAGAATTATTCACCGTGATCAAGTGGGATTTTATGCCTGTGCTGTGATATTGGTTCTATATTCACAAATCAATCATTGATACACTACATTAATAAAGGAATGGCTAAGAACCATATGATCCTTTCAATAAATGCAGAAAAAGCATTTGACAAAGCACATCTTCCAATTTTGATAAAAATCCTCAACAAAGAAGGGATAGAAGGTACATACCTCAGCATCATAAAGACCATACATGAAAGTCCCATACCTAATATCATGCTGAATGAGGAGAAACTGAGAGATTTTCCTCTAAGGTCAAGAACAAGACAGGGATGTCCACTCTCATCGTTATTTAACATAGTACTAGACAGCCATAGCAACTTCTTACTAGACATGTCTCCAGAGACAAGGGAAACAAAAGCAAAAATGATAGACTAGGATTTCTAGATAAAAAAGGTTCTGTATAGAGAAAGAAAAATCAACCAAACTAAAAGGCAACCAATGGAAGGGGAAAAGATACTTGCAAATGATACATCAAATAAAGGATTGGTACCCAAAATCTATAAATAACTTAAAAACTCAACACCCAAAAAACAAATAATCCAATGAAGAAATGGGCAGAGGACAAGAATAGATACTTTTCCTTATATATATATAAGGAAATATATATAGATACATATATATGTATCTATATATAATAGATACAGATAGCTAATAGACACATGAAAGACATCAGAGAAATACAAATGAAAACCACAATAAAATACTACCTCACCCTTGTCAGAATGGCTAAAATTAACAACTCAGGGAACAAAAGATGTTGGCAAGGATGCAGAGAAGGGGAAACCTCCTACCACTGTTTTTGGGAATGCAAACTGTTGCAATTTCTCTGGAAAACAGTATGGAGGTTCCTCAGAAAGTTAAAAATAGAACTACCTTGTGACCCAGCAATTACACTACTAGGTATTTATCCAAAGGAAACAAAAATACTGACTGAAAGGGGCACATGTACCCATATATTTATAGCAGCACTATCAAGAATAGTCAAACTATGGAAAGAGCCCAAGTGTCCATTGACTGATGAATGGATAAAGATGTAATACACACAGAAACACACACATACTCATAATGGAATATCACTCAGGCACCAAAAAGAATGAAATCTTGCCATTTGCAATGATATGGATGGAGCTAGAGTGTATTATGCTAAGTGAAATAAGTCAATTAGAGAAAGACAAATATCATATGATTTCACTTATATGTGGAATTTAAGAAACAAAACAGAAGGGAAAGGGAAGGAAAAGTAAGATAAAAACATAGAGGGAGGCAAACCATAAGAGATACTTAAATATAGAGAACAAACTGAGGTTTGATGTAGGGAAGTGGGTAGATGATGGACATTAGAGAGGGTACTTGTTGGGAAGAACACTATTGTGTGTAGGGAATGAATCACTAAATTCTATTCCTAAAACAAATATTACCATATATGTTAGCTAACTACTTTAAATAAACACTTGAAACACTGGGGAAAAAAACAAAAAACAAAAACCAGAAGTGACTACTGACCAGAAGCTTTAAAGCTATACAAATCTCCTGTTTCTCCTTATCATTTTACCCCCAAATTTCAACATTCTTAAGTGGGCTATCTTATAGCAAGTATTACTGTGAGTTTGTAATAGTGATTTTTTTTTTATTTTCCTCACTCCTTCTACACTTATGATTTAGAATTCTTCTGTAAGGAATTTTGTTCATTCTCACCCATTTATTATTTATTAAATAATTTAAATCACTTTAGAACCACAGATATCATTTTGTTCTTTGAGTTAAAACCCAATACAATCATTATTTTTTGTTCCTATGTCATGCCTTGAGAACTCTTTTAGGTTGGTACTGTGTCCCTTTGACATGATCATGAGCCTTTCTTCCTCTTTTATTTTTTTTTAAGCTCTTTGTTACTTTCTCGCACCAAACAATGCCCCAGGCTCATCATGTACTCTCCCTGTCCAGGCTCTAGAATTAACCATTTCTCCACAGAGCCCCTGTTCCTTTCAAGGAAACCAGGAAACCAAGATGTAGGCACTATTATGTGCTCTTTGCTTTTGGCAGACCGTCTTGACAAACAGAACTAGGAAATACATGTATATACTAACCTATATGTACACACATATATCTGTATTTACCTCTTTGCATATATACTAAAATAGACATGAATTCATGCTGTTATCTCAGACCCTAATCCAATACCACAGGGTTCTTTGTAGTCTTCACTCCTTGCTTATTTTTAACCTCTTTTTCTGACAGTGGAAAACTTGGCTTACGTTAGATACAATTCATTTTTAAACCTAGTAAACACATAAAGTATTGTTAGAATTGTTAACCTATACGACATAATAAATAAATTTACTAATCAGATTACAATTTTATGCATAGGTTTTTTTTTTCTTTAGCTTTACAGTATTCAGTCAAAATACTGATTTCCAAAGTTACTTAGGTCAACTCTTTTTTTTTTCTATTTTTGATGATGTTATGGCTTTTGTAACATAGTTAAATCTACTTGTCACAATTTTACTTTACATCCTAGGGTTTCCTGGCATTCTAGGTGACTTTTCTTTTTAATCTGCACTCAGGAAAGTTCATTCTTTGCAATGTATAATATGAGTTTTGACAAATGCATGGATTCATGTATCAACCTACATAATATCAGAAAGAACAGTTTCATAACACAAAAAACTCCATTGTGAGGTCCTGTTGAAATCAATCCTTACCTTTACTACTCCTGGCAAATAACCATTCTGTTTTCCATCCCCACAGTTCTACCTGTTCCAGATCATTTTATAAATGAAATTATACAACTTGTAGCCTTTGGGTCTGGTTTCTTTCACTAAGCAAAAAGCATTTAAGATTCAATCACATTGTTTTACAAAGCAATATTTGTTCTTTTTTGCTTTTCATATATTTCAAAGTTTATGTAGCTGGTACTGTCACACTCTGTGCCACATTCCCTGAGTCCATCTGGTTTCAGTACAGCACATTGTTGGTGACTCACCTATAGCAAGTTCTGCGGTATCTACTTTTCACTAGCCAAGGCAAGCTAGTAATCAGACTGTTGGCACAGTTCAAAGTACAATACCTCCAAAGGCATCACCCAACCAATGAAAAATGAGAAGCCATGGATAAGTGCCTCCCAATCCTCAGTGGGTTAACTCTGAGGAGCATTCTATATGGTCTTCATAGGTCTCTAGTGGATGGGAGTCCAAATTTCCAAGTATAGTAAGTAGCCAGGTTAATAATGGACATATTTTTGGTTTTTCTCCCTTCCTTGAAACTCTCTCTTCCCCCAATTATGCTTCCAGGTTCAGTTCCCAAATAAACTATCTCACTTGTCCTGCATTAGGATGTCACCTGTTCTAAAACACTTTTTTCCAGATATCCTTGACTCACTCCCTCATCTATATGAAGTGTTTATTGTTACATCTCAGTGAGCTCTTCTCCCACCACCCTTTTTAAATTGTAAGCCTTTTCCCCCTTCCTTACTTTATTTAATTAACAGCACTTAACTTCATATGTGCATGTGTGTATAATTAACTTTATTAGTTTCAAGTAGGCTTCACAGATGGAGTAATTTTAGTCTAATTTTTTCATCATTGTGTCTCTAGGACTTAAAATGCTCCTTGGCACACAGTAGGCACTCAATAAAAATACACTGAATAAGTAATCTTTTGAGAAGGTTATTTTTAGTCTGCGTAAGACGTCCTATGGGGGGAAAATTGTAAAACTATTAACTTTCAAAATTCAATGGTATTCATAATGAAGCCAGCTGATTCCATCACAAATATTATTTAAAACATTCCCACACTTAGCATGAAGTTTGACTGGGTCATCTGAGTTGCCTTTGAATTCTAAGATACTGTAATACTACAAACAATAAAAGACTATAGTAGAAGGTAGAAAATTGGCATGAATCCAGTATTTTTCCTGGTAGTGTTCATATAAAGCCAAATATAATTGTATGCTACGCATTTGGTTAGCCTATTTAATGGTTTCAAACAGAATGCCATCTACACAGCAGTGATAGATATAGAGAAGAATATTTTTTTATCTGTGAAATTTGAGTCTCATATTTTTTTCTAAGTATTTATCATAAGAAAGAAAAAATCATTCATGGTTTCCGGACTGAAATTATTTTTATCACATTTTTATTACCTGGACACTGGATAAAGGACCACTCATAGTTCTTTTCTTTAGGACAAAGACTGGTATCAAGAACCATCTCATTATTGTGCATTCCAACAAGCTTCATCGGCCCCCGTGAAGATCCTTCAGTGCAGTGTCCTCTTCCTGTATTACTAGGATCATTGCACCAGCCACATCCAGGCTGTTCCAAACAATGTCCACAGGTTCTCAATCCAGAACAATTTTGAGCTGTATGACAGAAACATTAACAAATATGTTATATGACTTTATATTCAAACAGAATTGTAAGCTGATGGAAAAATAAGTATGATCTGAAAAAACAACGCTAATAAGTTGTCTATAATGTAAACATTAATAATACCAAATAGACAGCAATTACTTAAAGTAAAACACACATCATGAACAAAGAAGAGATAAATGGACTAATAAGTGAAAAAGGATGTGGTAACCATGACATGGAGAAAAATGAAGTCAGCACTTCAAGATTCCTGCAAACTTTGCCTGGAAGTGGATCCAGGGGCCTACAGACCACATTCACCATTGTCTGGGGTGTACAGCCATGTGAGCTGTTCTTGTTGTGCCCAGTGAAGGCCTTCAGGAGAAACTCTGCATCTGCCTATGACTGTCCAGTGTAAATGCTGGCTTCCCATTCCCTAAGACAGCTGAGACCCATTTGTACTACCTTTCACTGAGAATGTTCTTCCCAAGGGTCAGAGATATGAGCGGTTAGCTGTCATATGATGAGTAAACTCAATCTCACCTAAAGAGTCAAACTGGATGGGAACACGGCCACCAGATCGCTACCTCAGCCAGGCAACCAGCAAGGGCTTTACTGACTTTCAGGGCTGCAGAGTATCCCTCCAAGATTGTTTAAATTATGTATAATCAATAATATTCAACAATGCTATGAATATTGTAATGTCTTTTCCAAGGATGAACATTTTATAGTTTGCTATTATATACACTATAGCTGCTATGTGATGTTGTAAATTTTTAATTCACAATCAGAGTATGCTATATTGGGCTGACTCTTTAATTACTTTTATTGACATTTTGCTAGAAAAAGCATTCTTTGGGGAATTATTTACGTATCAACAACAGGGACAGAGGTACAAGAATTAATGAATGATGTTTCTTCTAGTCACATGCTAGAAAAAAACTAGAGGTGGGGAAAGTGGTAACTTCTGGAAGACAAAATTCCATGGTTAAGGTGGTAAAAACTTAATTTCTACTCAGTGTTTTGTTATTACTGGAAACAAAAAATGTTCCTCTGACTGCTGCAAACAAGAATGGCACAAGTTTCTCAGTGAACATCACGAACTCAATATAGTGAACTGCATAGGGATAATAGAATAGTGAATTAAAGAATTCATTAATTATAATATGATCTGTTATTAAGAAATTGTCACATGATGAGTATTTCAGATTGGATGTAAAAAAGTGGACTTTCTTTTTAAGGATATATAACCAATACAATGTCTTGAAGAAGTATTACATACAAAGTAAATCTAAACTATTCTCAAATACAACATTCCTGTTAATGCTTTCCAAAGAGCTAGAGAAACCTTAGATGGAAGAAGGCTCAGCTTCTTGCACTGGCTGATCGACAAACTATTAATCTTCTAGTTCTGTTTATTTACTTGATTTTAGGCTTTAATAACAAGTTACAAAATGTCATGTTCAGAGTAACATTTTATTCTCTTTGATTTTATTTTACATAGGAAACTAGTGCATAAGTTACTGTTGGTTTTCTTTTTGCCCAAGACTAGAAAGCAATCAGCATTGCTGAAAGATTAATAGGAAAATTCATCTCTGGTATTTAATAATGATTCAAAAGCTGACAAAAAGTAATGTTTTTTTAGACAATAACACAGGAAGGATTTAGGTGGCTATGCTATTTTTCTAAGTTACAAAATAGTAGCAAAACTATGTATAAACTCCAAGTCATTAGAGCAATCATTTTTAATTTATTTATTTGAGGCTTTTTAGAAAAATTAAATTGTAATACATTCAGTATGGTTTTTGAAATGTGTAAGAATTTTAAAAACCAATCTGTAAGAAATTACAGCATCAGATGATTACTAGAGACTTCTCATGTTATAGATTCAGAAGTTACCGCTCCATCCAAACAAAAAGTAAAAAGCAGCACAAAACGAAAAGTCAACAACTCGTCTTAGGTCTATCAAAGAAGGTTACAGGGAAAGTAACTGCACTGAAAATTGGAGAGACAGAGAGGAGGATACAGAGAATGATAATACACCAAATTTGAAACTTCTACAGGGACCAGCGTCGGGGCAGAAACCCTGAACTATGGCTGATGCTGCTAGAAGCTCAGTGTTGACAACTCTGAGAGTTAAAATTCCTGGCAGGACCCAGTCGTAGGGACATTCCCACACCTCTGTGAGGTTTTTTACCTCCAGGACCTCTACAGGGTCCTCACAGTGAACGTCAAAAAAAAATCTTCTTCTGCTTCCAGCCAGAGCATTCTGTTCTTCTTCACAAGGTCCAGAAAAACTATTTAACAGAGCTAACCTGCTGCGGTTTTATCAGAGCCTAACTGACCAGTTAAAGGAAAATATCCAACTCTAGCCTGCTCTGGTGTTCCATATGGGAAAAGAAATACACAAATCAAGCTCCCTCTGACCATCCCGTACCACCTGAGAAAGGGGAAAAAACAGAGATGCACTGGTGAAGTCCATGGTATGAGACATAAGCACATCCAAAAGACTACGACTTAATCATTCAATTATAGAACACTTCTGCTCCATACTCCACAACTACAATGCTAAAAGCGTATCGATTTACACAGTCTCTTTTACCCATAAACCATATCTGGCTATCAAGAAAAAAATTACAAGCATACCAAAAGACCAAAAAAAAAAAAAAAAAAAAACAGTATGAAGGGGCACCTGGGTGGCGTCCATTAAACGTCAAGTCATGATCTCATGGCTGTGAGTTTGAGCCCCACATAGGGCTTTGGGCTGATAGCTCAGGGCCTGGAGCTTACTTTGATTCTGTGTCTCCCTCTCTCTTTGCCCCTCCCCTACTCACATTCTGTTTTCGCTCTTCCTCAAAAATTAATAAACGTTAAAAAATTGTTTTAAAATGTGTAAGATAGAAGACAGAGCAAGCATCAGATCAGAAATGGCAGGAACTATCAGACCAGGAATTTAAAACAACCATGATTAATATGCTAAAAGTTCTAATGGATAAAGTAGCCATTATGCAAGAACAGACGAGCATTGTAAGCAAAACTATAAAATTCCTGGAAATAATATGTAAGATCAAGATGACCTTGGGTTTGGTGATAATGCTTTAGTTATGACACCAAAGGCACAATCCATGAAAAAAATGTATAAACTAGACTTATTAAAATTTAAACTCAAATTTAAAATTTCTGCTCTGAAAAGATACTGTCAAGAGAATGAAAATACATGCTATACACTGTAAGAAAATATTTAGAAAAGACATAACTAATAAAGAACAGTTATCTAAAATGCACAAGGAACTCTTAAGACTCATTAATAAGAAAATAAACAATTCAAGTTGAAAAATGGACAAAAGACCTAAACCAACATCTCACCAAAAAAGATATACATAGAGAATAATGAAAAAAATTGCTCAACATCATATGGCACTCAAGAAATGCAAATTAAACCATGAGATACCACTGCACACCTATTAGAATGCCCGAAATCCAAAACACTGACAACACAAAATTCTGGTAAGTATGTAGAATGCAAAAAGCAACAGAAGCAAACATCCATCGCTGGTGGGAATGCAAATACAGCCCCTTTAAAAGTCAGTTTGTGGCACAAAAACAGACACATAGACCAATGGAATAGAATAGAGAACTCAGAATTGAAACCACAAATGTATGGCCAACTATCTTTGACAAAGAGGGAAAGAGTATCCAATGGAAAAAAGACAACCTAATCTTTAACAGATGGTGCTGGGAGAATTGAACAGCAACATGCAGAAGAATGAAACTAGATCAATCTCTAACACCATACACAAAAATAAACTCAAAATGGATCAAGGACCTGAACGTGAGACAGGAAACCATCAAAACCCCAGAGGAGAAAGCAGGGAAAAAACCTCCTCAACCTCAACTGCAGCAATTTCTTACTTGACACATCCCCAAAAGCAAGGGAATCAAGAGCAAAAAGGAGCTACTGGGACCTCATCAAGATAAAAGGCTTCTGCACAACAAAGGAAACATTCAATAAAAGTAACAGGCAACCAACGGAATGGGAAAAGACAGTTGCAAATGACATATCAGATAAAGGGCTAGTATTCAAAATCTACATGGAACTCACCAAACTCCACACCCAAAAAACAAATAATCCAGTGTAGAAATGGGCTGAAGACATGAATAGACACTTCTCCAAAGAGGACATCCAGATGGCCAACAGATACATGAAACTATGCGCATCGTCCCTCATCATCAGGAAAACAGAGATCAAAACCACACTGAGATACCACCTCATGCCGGTCAGAGTGGCTAAAATGAACAAATCGGGAGACTACAGATGCTGGCGAGGATGTGGAGAAACGGGCACCCTCCTACACGGTTGGTGGGAATGTAAACTGGTGCAGCCCCTCTGGAAAACAGTGTGGAGGTGCCTCAGAAAAATAACAGTAGAACTCCCCTATGACCCAACAGTATCACTGCTAAGAATTTACCCAAGGGATACAGGAGTGCTGATGCATAGGGGCACATGGACCCCAATATTCACAGCAGTACTTTCACCAATAGCCAAATCATGGAAAGAGCCTAAGTGTCCATCAACTGATGAATGTATCAAGAAGATGTGGTTTATCTATACATTTGAATACTTCATGGTAATGAGAAAGATTTAAATCTGTCCATTTGTAGCAACGTGGATGGAACTTGAGGGTGTTATGCTGAGCGAAGTAAGTCAGGCGAGAAGGACAGATACCACATGTTTGCACATATAGGTGGATTAGGAAGAACTTAACGGAGGACCATGGGGGAGAAGAAGAGGAAAATCGTACGGAAGAGGGAGAGAGGCAAACCATGAGAGACTCTTGAATACTGAGAACAAACTGAAGGCTGATGAGGGTGGGGGAGAGGGGAAAGGGGGGTGATGGGCATGAAGGAGGGCACTTGTTGGGATGAGCACTGGGTGTTATATGGAAACCAACTTAACAAAAAACTATTTAAGAAAAAAAATAATAATAATGAAATAAAAGATAAAATAAAA